CAAAGTCACAACGTTTAAGAGAAGATAAACTTAGGGCATATGGTCCAGACTCCCCTCTGGATTTTATTTAGATAAATACAGGTTTGCGCTGCCAGTGGGGGAAGCACAGGCCAGCGTGACCCCACCCTCTAACTACAGCCTTGAGGTCTGTGTGCGTTAAAAATACCCCACAGTGACCCAAGCACAAGAGTGATCCCGTCTGCCATGCTCACTCCGTCTTCTCCCTGTACTTTCTGCACATAACTGCAATGTGGGCCTAGTTTGTCTACCATGGTTTTATCTACCTTTTATTATTAATAAATGCTCTAATATTAAAGAAATTTTAAAGCACCTTTTATAAAATGCAGATCAAAACACAACAAAACAAAACCTAAGAAACAACAAGAATTATATATTTTTAAATAATTTGAATAAATCCTATTTTTGGAACTATCTATCTATCTATCTATCTATCTATCTATCTATCATCTATCTATCTCTATCTATCTATCTCTATTCATTCATTCATGCATTGACTTTATTTTTCTTCTTACTTTATTTTTCTCTCTAAATTCTAGTTACTGTAATACGCTTAAATTATAAAATACTTTTACTAAAAAAATACTACTGTAAAAATACAGTAGATGTTGTTCTTTTAAATTTCTGTTCATCAAGGAATCTTGAAAAAATGCACCAGTTTCAACAAAAATATTAAGCAGCACAACTGTTTTTAGCATTGTTAATAATGAGAAATATTTTGCTTTGCCATCACAGGAATAAATTTAATTTTAAAATATATTAAAATAGTTATTTTAAATAGCAATAACATTTCATAAGATTACAGTTTTTACTGTATTTTTGATAAATGCAAAAACATTAAAAAAAACATCTTACCAATCACAAACTTTTGAAAGGTAATGTATCATTGTTTTTGCATTTATAAAAATTGAGAAATAATCACAAAGCAAATTTCCTAGTGGAGATTCTTGTTTCATACTTAATTGGTTTTGTGGTAAAATATGACCCAGACATATTCTTGCCAGAGTTTGTGAAAATCAAGTCTTTGTATATATCAATATGTAAATATATGACACAAAAAAAGTGAAAGAGATGACTTGCGCACTTCAATAACAGCCTCTCTCAAATGCTTCAAATGTAACGGTTCTCTGTTGTGAATGTTAGGGTTTATAGAAATGCAAAGCTACATACTATGCAGTATCTGCGATAACACTGACGTCAGCTGGGTCGTATCTGGAAGCAGTTTGGCAGCTCAGAGCAAAGAGCACACACTGCACTGCATACATAGACATACAGACACAAGCAACGGCCTGAACTGTCCTTTTGTGTGCTGCTTCATGACGGATGGGGCTCATCTGTGTATGGGTGGGTGTAGGGCCTGTCGGGGTGGGGGTCAGTGAAGAGATGCAGTGGAAAACACACAGCCCATGTTGTGTTTGCGTGAAGGCATCTTTGTATGAAATATGCAGCACATTATGTGTGTGTGTGTGTGTGTGTGTGTGTGTGTGTGTGTGTGTATTTACATTACATTTAGTAATTTAGCAGACGCTGTTATCCAAAAAAAATAATGCTAATGAATCCTCATGATTCTTATTTCACTTTTTTCCTATAATTTTTATAATATCGAATGGCTGGATTATTCGACTTTTTCAGATAATTCACACAAAACCGTTAATAGTCCTTGATCACTAATTATAATTAGATAATCAATATAAATTTTAAAGTTTATATTTTCAAATGGTAATCCCTCTCTCTCTCTCTCTCTCTCTCTATCTCTCTCTCTCTCTCTCTCTC